TCCTGCAGTTCGCGAAGATTATACGCGTTCGTGTTGCGATGAACTAGAAGCCATTATTCACTTTAACACGAATGTACTTCGACGAAAATACTGTTTCTGCTACTGGTAATTTGTAATGGGCCAATGCATGGTGCTTAATTTGTTAAATGGATGAAAGCTTCATCAATTCGAAAGCTATAAAACTTAAAGTAGGTAATTTTGTAAAAAAAAAAATAATGAATGCTCGGGATAGTCTGCCATTATCTGGGAGGACAGCTCGAAGAGCTGTATGGACAGCCTGAGGCCGGGTTCTAACCGCGTTCCTTTCGTGTCATGCCATGTCAAACCGTATTGATCGAGAGGTAGGGTATTAATAACAGCTTCATGAAAGTGCCACGTGCCAAGATAACTGTAAATCAACAATCCTTGTCAATTATGAACAAATACGCTATGCAGATACTTGCACAATGCTTCTGCCAAGCTTTGCACAACGGTCGCTACTTTGCCAACGCTTTCCGTTGCATACAATTTTACCATTTCAGTATTGCAAGGTACCGAGCATTCCTATTATATTATGCATTTCTAAACGGATATGGCACACAAATCGCACAGAAATCGATCTTAGCCCAACGGCACGTATGGCGCCATGGCACGCAGTTAGAATCCGGCCTCACGCAGATTAATTCGCTCCAAAAATAGTTGCCTATAGCACAAGCACCTTTCAGATCACACCACGGCACAAAACATATTCACAACTTAGTGACACTACATTCGCACAAACTACTTCATACAACCCGTTCCCCATGGACAACACATGCGTCTAAAGGAGACTCAAAATTACAAGTTATGATTCAATACTAGAACATCGATGTTGTCGCCAAAGGCCAGCTGTACATCTAAGAAACCGTGTGGATAATTTTAGCGCAACAAGTACAAGATTTGTTAAATTAAAAATATTATACGTTGTCTAATTTAGTAGCGGTGTGAAGCTGCTATTCTTCGGCAAGCTTACTTGTCGAAGAAGCAGCTCTCGCCCTTTCACTTTATCATGATAAAACAACTATCTCAGTCTACAGAGCCGTCATTGACCGCTCAAGAATTTTTTGCTAGTTAAAGCTTCCAACACTAGTTGTAGCTAAAAATAAATAAATAATGTTGGTTTAGAATGACTCGACTCGTTGAGAGAAGAATAATGTATTCCACAGCCCCCTCCCCCGCCCGCCTAAAGCGAATCACCCAAGTTTTAGCATTATCACGCCGCACGGCCTCTGTTACATTATAATACATTAAGTTACCATATATCATACATTTATAGAGGATGCGTAACATCAGTTTTATTTTTCTTGAAGCTTTAAGAATTTTTTATTTGTGAGCACAAAAGAACGGCTTTGTATATTTTAGGACGTTTCGGGTACAAAATCTGACCCAACACGAACGTACTATGCGAGCTGAAATCGGGATATTCCACGTACCGATACTACGAATGCCGCAAAGATAATAAAATAACCTGATAACAAGGAGATCTGATGCCAATATTTAACATTTCAACTAGAAACTCGGTTTCTTTTCTTCATCGTGACACAAACATAAAAGAAGAACGATACTACTACTTAGCAAGGAGCATCCGTGTTCGTGTGCATTACGATCACTAGTTCTAGTTTATCGTAGCACAAACTCGTCTAAGCTTCGCACGTAGAGGGGATGCATAGCGTCAGGGTAATCAAAAACGACCAGAAGTTCGTCCTAAAACACTGATGTCGGCGTGGGAGATCTTTGCACGCGCTTGAAGTCCGCACGGTGCAGTCGTCTACAGCTCGTTAAACGGGTGCGGCTCCAGGCTCTCTTTGCCATTCTCCAGCAACGCAAACATGGTCTCCGCGAACGCCTTCATGTCCGCGTTATCACGGCGCCTCGCCGCGTTCTGTTTGGGTACCGGTGCAGCAGCATTCAGCCATATATATATTAGTCACATTCTGCATAGCAAAACCACCAAGCTATGTCGAGAAAACACCACCACAATGTATGGTATTGTTGAAAAATAACAACAATAGGCGAGATACACGTACGCTCTCCTGATCGTAACGCTCGACGATGGTCCATTTGCGTGGGTCGCTGGCGCTCTGCATGGGGTGCCATCCGAGGACGCTGGGGTCCTTGGCATTAAGCTGGGCGGCTTCGGCCAGCTTGGCGCGCAGCTGGTCCTCGACGCCGTCCTTAGCGTACAGGTTGACGATAACGGTGAAGACCATAGTTCTAGTTGATGGGGTGGTATTGGTTTGGAGGTCGAGAGAAGATTCGAAAATGAGCGAAGCTGGCAAGATGCCCTTAGCTTCGGCACGTAGAATGTGTCCTGCACATTGATACCCAAGGGTACGTCACTTCAACCAACAGTGCTCTGATAACCCCGATTACGCGAGAGAACTGTATTCGCGATTCCCAGCACCGTAATCCAATACAGTTGGCTTTAAGTATGAGCAAAGAGCCACCCCCTTGTTTTTGATCGATTACAACTCTTATCGACTGTGTCAAGTTAGGATTATGCTTGATATGATCACCATAAAAACCTGAGAGAAAACAGAAAAAAACAACAAAAATACTAGGACAAAGCTGGATGCAGACAAATTACAACCCGGACAAAAGACAACCTAACAACAAAGAATAGGCCGCAATACCACCAAAAGCACGAAACCAGCCAACACAAACACCAAAAACACAACAAAATCAAAGACCAGCACCAAAAAAAACAAAAACCTGAACAAAAAGGAGGCAAGATCCTATGGCAGCAGACCAAACGAGGCAAGAAAAACAAACCCACCAGATATACACATGAGACGGCGGGACGCAGAGCCGAGCGAAACCACTTAACAAAAAGAAACGGCAACTGAAGCCGAAAAGCAAATTACCCCGAATCCAGAAAAGAACCAGCACTGACAATACAACCGGAAACAACGCCAAAGGCCACGAAGAAACACTAAAAATAAGACGCAGGTTGGCGCAAACTAACGAACCCCAAAACGCGAACACAATCATATCAAGCATAATCCTAACTTGACACAGTCGATAAGAGTTGTAATCGATCAAAAACAAGGGGGTGGCTCTTTGCTCATACTTAAAGCCAACTGTATTGGATTACGGTGCTGGGAATCGCGAATACAGTTCTCTCGCGTAATCGGGGTTATCAGAGCACTGTTGGTTGAAGTGACGTACCCTTGGGTATCAATGTGCAGGACACATTCTACGTGCCGAAGCTAAGGGCATCTTGCCAGCTTCGCTCATTTTCGAATCTTCTCTCGACCTCCAAACCAATACCACCCCATCAACTAGAACTATGGTATTCACCGTTATCGTCAACCTGTACGCTAAGGACGGCGTCGAGGACCAGCTGCGCGCCAAGCTGGCCGAAGCCGCCCAGCTTAATGCCAAGGACCCCAGCGTCCTCGGATGGCACCCCATGCAGAGCGCCAGCGACCCACGCAAATGGACCATCGTCGAGCGTTACGATCAGGAGAGCGTACGTGTATCTCGCCTATTGTTGTTATTTTTCAACAATACCATACATTGTGGTGGTGTTTTCTCGACATAGCTTGGTGGTTTTGCTATGCAGAATGTGACTAATATATATATGGCTGAATGCTGCTGCACCGGTACCCAAACAGAACGCGGCGAGGCGCCGTGATAACGCGGACATGAAGGCGTTCGCGGAGACCATGTTTGCGTTGCTGGAGAATGGCAAAGAGAGCCTGGAGCCGCACCCGTTTAACGAGCTGTAGACGACTGCACCGTGCGGACTTCAAGCGCGTGCAAAGATCTCCCACGCCGACATCAGTGTTTTAGGACGAACTTCTGATCGTTTTTGATTACCCTGACGCTATGCATCCCCTCTACGTGCGAAGCTTAGACGAGTTTGTGCTACGATAAACTAGAACTAGTGATCGTAATGCACACGAACACGGATGCTCCTTGCTAAGTAGTAGTATCGTTCTTCTTTTATGTTTGTGTCACGATGAAAAAGAACTCAAGTTTCTACTTGATCTATTTTACCGTAGTCATATTATTCTCCAGACTATTATTTGTTTGAAGTCCAGACTTTCACGGACAAGATCTTTGATTAATAAGAGTAGTACTTCGGATGCACCCTTGATCACTTCATGGCGCGCTAGAGTCAGAGTGAACGTTCCAGAACCGCTGCATGAAATCTCCAATCCCCGGTCGAATATGTTGGTCCGCGTCTAGAACGGTGTCCACTTGAGCTGCTATAAGCGTGACATCTGTGCGAAACAAGTGAAGTTTTAGTCCGAGGAGCCACCTCGTGACACAATGCAAGAAGAGCTCACGACTCACCTGGGAAATGTCGAAACACAGTCTGGAGACCCTCGAAGGAGCTGATGACCGTCACAAAATAAATACTCTTGGCGGGTATACGCTTTTCGTGCACCAGGTGATGCAGTGCCGCACATGCCTCGATTCCAGTGGCACACTGGATGTTAAGAAGTAGCACGACCTGGTTGGGCCTAACAAGGGGTAGCTGCGCCTGAACGGTGGCCAAAATCCCATCATCGCTGTTCTTGTCGTCTGTTCTTGCGTTAATGGAAGCCACGCCAGTGGGTGATGACGGATTGATAGTGGAGAAGGCACGCAGCATCACCATACCTTTGTCTTCCATGGAGACACCGCAGATATCTTTCTCATCCAGAGACTTGGCTGCATGGCACACGTCACCAAACTGATTCTTGATTTGGACATGCTCATGAGGCAAGCAAGTTAATGCCTCTTCGATCAAAAGCCGTACCAGTCGTGTGGCTCGCTGCTGGAACACTGCTCCGCTGATGCTTTCGTCTCTCAAAGCTGCGATTAGATTTCTACACGGATACGAATGCGCCGATGCCTCGTGGACGAGGAATGGTCGGGATGCTACCGGACTCCTTGTTTCTTCCTCAAATGAAAACAGCGAATCGTGTGGAGGTTGACGGTCTCTCATTTGATGATGGTGCCTGGGGAGATCAGAGTCTAGCTTAGCTGCAACCGATGATAGGCTGCTGTGTCGCCTAGTTTCCTCCGTTGGTTGGTGTACTGATCCCTCCACCTTCTTGTTGTCGCGAGGACTCACCTCCGTGTCAATTGATATCGTGGACACGTCTGGGTAGATTGTAATCGGCCCGGGTGCAGCAGTACTTATCTCATCACTTGCTGCCAGCTGCGGTACCAAGTGTGGGCTTGATCTCCTGCTGCGCGACCTTTTCGACTTCGGATGCTTGGATTCAGCGTTACGATTTCCCCGTGTGAGCACCTCCCACCGATTTTTGTAGAGGTTACAGATTGCAGCACGGCTTACACTGAACTCCCTTGCCAACGCCACTTGCTTTTCGCCGCCATCGATCCGCGTGATGATCTCTCGGCGGTCACTCTCACTCAAATACCTAGAGGTACGCTCGCGACGCGGGGTAGTCGGCTGTGACGCGAAATAACTTGTTATGTCGACATTTGCTGTGTCGCCATCTTGGGAGGGAGATGTAGACGAAAATGAAAAACCTTTAGAGATGGCGAGAGGGCTGACCTGGTCTTGAGCTTGATAAATACTGCTGAGTCGAGAGAATGACACAGCTTTCGAGCCTTTGTCTTCATTGTCTATTGAGACTTCTAAAGACACCTGCTTCCTCTTGAACTGATCGGCCTCGAGGTGGCGAAGAGTTGGAGGATTAGGAGTTAATGCCGAGAACGCGCCTTCGATGCTGTTACGTCGCTTCTTGACGCCCATGCTACTGTTGATGCCAGTAGTGGCCACGCTAGAGGCGCGTGTATCTGAAGAAGACGTTGGGAGATAGGAAGAAAGCTGGGGGAGACCAGTCGGAGGCGGCTCCATGGCTATCAACCGAAGTTGGCCTCTCAAGTTCCTTAGAATCGAGCGAAAATTAGAGTGAAAGAAGTGCTGGACCTCTCTCTTCTTGTGTGGGGTTGGTAGGGAAATACGGGTCACGCATCGAGTTGACTGAGGGACCATGAGAAGGGACTAGAAGTGTGCAGGGCGTCTCATCAAGATTGGGTTAACAGAGCATCAACGACATCATTCACGCGTGAGTTTACTGTTTAAATTCGGTCGGCAATTCCGTTGTCTCCTTACCAAGGTCCCTTCTACCTTCTACTGTCCTGTGTTGTAAACACTGATGCGTGCGAGCCATCGCAGCGTGGTCGGGGATCCAGTTCTACACCACAGCTGGTTGCAGTTGCTAGTCGCAGTCGTCGGTTCATGTACAGATCTTCTCGAACTGCCTCGTCGTCGCCGTCAAACCCCGGGAATTAACGCGCATTCCTAGCGAAATGGTGCTGCAATGCACGATGGTGTCAGGTGAGAACGGAGTTGTCCCAACAACTTATGTTACAGAATGATCTGTGGTTTTTGTTGATTTTTGCGAAGCAGCAGTAAATACAAAATCGCCAAGCAACATTGTTGTTGAAGTTAACACGATTGCGTCGCTGTGAGCATGACGGTTCACTAGAGAATCAGTGCGCGGACCATCTCTCTTGCAACTGGATTTAAAGTCCCAAAGTCCCACGGAGCAACGTTGCGGTGGTTGCTCATGAAGTTCATCAGCAAGAGCGCCCACCGAGACGTCCTACGACAACATACAAAGCTGCAACCGGTTGGTCACCCGATTAGGGTACAGTAATGCATCCAATCCAATCACCTTCCCGCTGCAGTTTGCATCGCTATACTGCACAGGTGCATATCATCTGTACTCTCGTCAAAGCGTTTTCGTGCCACAGATCTGTCGTCGAAAGCTTGAGGTCAATTTTGTTTTTGAGCTTGATAAATAAATTTGCATTTTCAACGTGTATCATATATTTAGAACATACTGTTTATTACTTAACATTAAGTTCTGATGATATCCTCTGTGGAGTCCCCACTGCTGCAAGTTGGAGACTGCATCCATAGCCAAATTCATGGAGTCTCGTCCTTGACTGGCATGAGCGGACCGTGGATCTGCATGCTGTAGCTTCCGCTGGCCTACACGGAAGCTACAACCACACAGTGCTGGCTATCTGTATCACGTAAACGAAAGAGGTTAACTCTTTGAATTCGATTATTATACAAATGTTAGAAGGTTTATTAATCCTAAATATGCATCATAGCAAACCTTAGTTTGTTTTTATTTGACAAACACAATAAAAACAACTTACCCCAGAGACTTGCTTGGACCTATCCTTCCCGTTTTGGGCTGGGTCGGAGTTCTAAGGCCTTTAAGTGCTTGAAAATCAACATTTCCTTACCTTAGCCCATAGGATTTGCATAGGATTTGTGAGTCTTGATTCCACATTGTTTCATCATGTTTGATATTTTGACTTGTTTTAAGTATGTAAGTTAACATAACCTTTTAAAAATCATGGGCTGTAGCAACCGCCAATCTAAATTTTATTGAATCCACAGTATGATTTTAAGTTCAAAAAAAGAATGTGAGTTTTGCTTTCTTAGAAATTCTAAAATTTATTTACTCGTATCTGGCTAACAAAAATGAACTGGGAAAAGATTTTCTTTATGAAAAAACTCTTTTATTGCCACGAAACAAACACATTCGCTGTTATCAACTCACGCAATATTAATTCGTCATACCATCGCTGCAAAATGGACACGCTGGCGCTGTAAGAGCTTTGTAGCCGCCTGGTCACCTCCTCGGCGACATACTTTCGCAGTAACCAGCACAAAAACTGCAGTTGCGGCTATACCTCCCACGATAATGGCAGCCGTCGCGAATAGGAGCGACACGGCTGATGAAGATATTGAGGGTTTGATATCAGACGTATCCTTCGACTTCGACGCCTTGGTGGACGCTACACAGGAGGTGAAATCTGCCGCAGTTGACCACCAATATAGAGAACACAACCACTCAGCTTGGCACGCAGCATCCAAACACGATGATTGGAGACGCGATTGGGCCTTCGAGTTGAAGTAGTATTGCTCCAACAGTTGTGCGTCCGCTGCTGCACGCTCCACAAATCTGGTAATCTCCGATGTGCTCAATGAACTGACGCCATACTCCGTGCTTGCTTGGAAGAGTGCCTTCCAATCGACATCTTGCGTGGCTTCCGAGATGTTGCCACCGTAAACGGTGAAGTCGAGAATATCATACGTCGTAGCGTGGAAATCCCAGACCATAAATGCTGGATTATTCAAGAACAACGGAGAAATTGCCGCCGTCATAAACAGTGGCACGAGTTCCGAGCTGTCTGTATAGTCATCGTCCACAGTCACTCCGTCCTGCTGGAGTTGGAAACTCAAACTGCTGGAAAGGGGTAATCGGAACTCGATGCTGTGCACGTGACCGAAGAACTGGGCCTTGATGATATCGGTGTATTGGCTGACAATTTGCTTGTACGTCTTGATGTACGTCTCGTTCCACATAGGTTCTCCAGCATACGAGTCGATAATAGGAGGGATGTGGCCAACGATGTAGGCCCACTTGCCAGCCCCTCGCAATTCGGATAGTGATGCATTCAACCACTCGAATTGGTCGAACGGGTCAGGCAAGTCCGACGTATCTGGATGATGATTTGGCTGTGAGAACAACACAGAATGTTAGCTATTGAGGTATCAAAATAGCAAAATCGGACTCACTGAATAGGGCAGCGTGTTCAGCGTGATCACGATCAAATTTTCGTCCAAGGCGTACGCTAAGTACCCGCGGCGGTTGAACCAATCGAGGTTGGACTTCGACATCGTATTGTTCCAGGCCCCTGAAATTAATGCGATCATCGGATTCTCCTCCGTCTCGGGGTCCGTCACATTCATGGTGTAGTCAGGACCTACACATTTGCCACACAACCGAAAGTCTGTCAATACAATAGAACTCAACCTCTCCCGGGTTACATTCATCACGCACTTGTGTCGGCATTGCCTATGATCGCCGTGATGTCGAGAGCCGTGCCATTATTCTCCGTAGAGTAATACTTGGCCATGGTCTCGACGTTCTCCTCGACAGCTTCAGCGAGATATTCGTCCGACAGTTCTCCATGCACCACGTGGTCCCCCGTGTAGAGGAAGAACTCAGGATCGGGTAGCAGCTTTTTCGCGTAGTCCAGAGCCGATACCAACAAACGCATCGGTGCGTCGTCACCATAGGCGACGGGAATCTCGGCCGATTCGCTGGCGTTCAGCGACTTGGAAATGTTGAGATGTACGTCCGAAAAGTGCAAAATGTGACGCACAGTAGCTCCAGCGGTGCTATTTCCATAGCGCGCGGTCGAGTTATCCGCGGAAGTTGAAGCAGTTGATGTGATGACAATCACGGTGGTCGCCAATGCCAGCCCAACCATGCAGCGCATGGTGACCTCGTAGCAACTCGCTTGCTCTCGACGGTGAATTTGACGGAATGAATTCATGTCGGCTAGAATCGAGTGCTCGATCACGCCAGTACTGGCGCGTCCTACCTAAGTAAGGTTTTACGGCATAAAATTGCTGTGAAACATGGTGCACTTGACATGGTACCCTTTGATGCGCCCAGGAAACACCATATGCACACCAAACTCTTTTAAGTTCGATTTTTTCCTCTCCTCCTAGTGGCTAATAATTTCGTGCGAATCGTTGGCTCACGGTCCACGCAAAAGCCGATACTGAAGACCTGTCCATCATTTCTCAAAGAGGCAAAAAAGCAGAGATGGCGAAGGTCACGAACACCCCCAAGACGGCGGCCGGCAAGGCGGCTGCCAAGCTGTCCAAGAAGGTCATTAAGGGCTCGCACGGCAAGGTGCTGAAGATCCGCACCAAGGTGCACTTCTACAAGCCCAAGACCCTCAAGCTTGCCCGCGCCCCGCTGTACGCCCGCAAGGCCGTGCCGTCGCGCAACAAGCTCGACAAGTACCGCATCATCAAGGCCCCGCTCACCACTGAGTCGGCCATGAAGAAGATTGAGGACAACAACACGCTCGTCTTCCTGGTGGACCTGCTGGCCAACAAGCGTCAGATCAAGGACGCCGTCAAGCAGCTGTACGACATCAAGGTCGCCAAGGTCAACACGCTCATCAGGTACACCACATCGCGTCGAGCGTTTAAGTTACAGGGCGGAGGGAACAGAGAAACCCCTTAAGATGCTTTACGTCTGGCCGTAGTCCTGATAGGGAAGTGCGGTGACGTGGTCTCGAGGGGCGGCTATAAACGCCGCTCTCCGTCTGTCATTGTTGGGGATATCAGGGACAATGTATGCTGACTGTATGATTGTTTTTGTTGTTGTTTGCAGACCCGATGGCCAGAAGAAGGCGTACGTTCGCCTGACCGCTGACTACGACGCTCTTGACGTGGCCAACCGCATTGGCGTGATCTAAGCTGTCTAGTTTGACTAGGTAGTATGTTCGGCCCAGCCGTACTGCGAGGGATCGCTCTTTGCCATCATCTTGAAGAAATAATAAATACATGGCCGTCGCACTCTCGCTGAAAGGCTGAGGGAGCGGGCCTTCGTATGCCTAAAACTAACTCTTTTGGTTGTTTTGCTTTTGATGGTAACGAGGAGTGCAAACCAACAGTTTCGACATCTACTACGTGGTTAAGTCGGAAGGAGAGCAAGTTATGTAGTTCTATTCCACTAGTCAGCCATGTAACACACAGCTATTGCCACATCACACGGCCATCTGTGACTCGCTCGACAACAGTGATCGAGCGGTGGTATCGCCTTCTGCAAGCTGCTTCACACAACTCACTGGAAGATCTTTATTGTACTGTCCGCGCCGCCCGTCGCGATAAAGTTGCGCGACGAGTGATAAGTCACCGAGTGCACAGCTTCACCCAACTTCGGTCGATGAGCCTGCACACATTTACAACGTCAGTCAGCCAAATACAGCGGTAAGTTCCCTTGAAACTAAAACGCACCGTTTGTTCAAATACGCAATGTCTGTCAGCAACGGACCAAACACGCAATGAACCGTCGTGGCCTGAAAATACCATGAGCAATTAGTATACCTGAAATTAGGGAAATAGAGCGACAAAACAAGCAGTTGTACCTCCTGAAGCAAGGTACAACCCCGCTGTGTCGATAGAAAGCGATGAAACAGTATCCTGATGAGCAGTGAGAGAGCCGACACACTCGCCTGCACCCCAAATTTACGTACAGCAGTTAGATCATCGCCGTGTGCAGCAAGTTCTCGCATTAATCCAGTCGTACCTGCTCGCATGTCGTACATCCTGATTTTTCGGTCTTGATGAGCAGCAATAGCGACTGGCATGGTTGGGTGCACAGTAATCTGCATCACGAATCAATGTACGTTAGTTACTAAACAAACGTAACCAAAGCAATACTATCAGAACGCACCTTATTCACTTGACCTCCTCGTCCCTTCGTGTCGACATCAATTGCACGAGTTAACTGAATAACGCGCTCAGCAGCATAGTCGAACTGGGCAATGGATCCATTAGTGTAGCCGACAACGCATGTCTTCGGATCCGTTAGCATCGAGTGCACTGACGTCGGCACCAAAGAGCCACCAATGTTCGGACCTGGTCAAATACAAACGAACACGATAAGTTAGCCAAGGAAATATATCTGAGCGCGATAAAAAGATTTAGGCTTACCAGTCCCATTTGTGTTGGTCTTGCTTGTGCATCGAAGTTCACCCTGAAGCGTGAGATCTGTCATTTCGATAACATGTACGTTAGCAACAGCGTTCAAGGCATGGGCAAGTGTGAGCTGGCTTTGATAACCGGCGATTGTATACCTGACATAACTCCCCACGTTCGAACAACACCGTCTGCTCCAGCCGAGAACAATGTGTTTGAAAGCGGGTGTGCATGAAGATCCCAGATTGCGTCGTCATGAGCATCCTTAATCGAATGCATTTTCATGCTCTCATATTCCTGATACGTGTACGGTTCAGGTTTATCGGTCTCTGTACCTGGTAACTGGAAGAGGTGGAGTGCTCCATCGCGCCCCGCTGACACGAATGAGCCTGCTCGGCCTGGAGGACATTCGGAGTTTTCCGAGCTAAACACAGCCAGAGCCAATACGCTCTTCGAGTGCGTCCGCATAGTTACAAGCGAGTCCACCTCGGTAGCTCGCTGCGATGGCGGGCCATTAGCTACACTGGATAAATTCCACACCTTCACTGTGCAATCCTCGCTACCCGACACCAACAGCGGCTCCGTCGGGTGGAAAGCAAGCGCCCGCACTCCATCCTAAAAAAAAGGCAAAAGCAAACACGAGAGTAATATTGTGAGTATAATGTGGCATAACTCATGACAAAAGACGCAAATGATGCCGTACCATGTGCCCTGACAGCTTCAGCTTCAACTTGTGTGCTCGGTAAGCACCCTTGGGTGCAATTGGGATCACCGCTGGTTTCAATGGCTTCGCCGTCTCAATAGTACCTGGTAAAACAATAAGAAAAATATCATCTTCTTAATAAAGCAGCATCGCAGAGCATTGCTCGGCTACACGTACGCTCAACGCGTTCCACCTCCCGTCCGGATCCCGAGGCTGATCTGTTCATCTCGCGTTCCACCTCACGTCCTGATCCAGAAGCTGACCTGTTCATTTCCCGTTCGACTTCCCGTCCTGACGCAGTCCTGTTCATCTCACGCTCCACCTCTCGTCCGGACGCCGTTCTGGACATCATTCGAGGACGCGAGATTTCCGTGCCCTTGCCCTGTGAGTTCTTGGGCGTGCTGGATGCACTTTTGTTCCTGCTATCTGTTCTATAAATGCTGTAAGCCTTGGGGCTGCCGGCGGGCGACGGGGCGGGTGATGGCTGCTCGATGGTGCGTCCTGACTTGGAGCGCGTGACTGTCACGCCACGCGAGACCTCGGTACTCTCGGTACGTGGCTTGGTGGAAGATCCACCTGCACTAGATACCGCAGCGGGAGACGCCAAATAACGACCGCGTTCCTGTCTCAACGCAAACTCGAGCATCTTAACACGCAGCATGGCATCCTTGTAGGCTTGCTCCTGTTCGCTCCGCTGATCCTCGAGCTCGCGCACCTGCGCCTGTAGTTTTTGGCGCTCTTCATTCCAGTGCGCTTCGTCGCTGGCCACACTCGCAAACTGCCGCTGCAGGTAGCGCAGCGCCGCATCCACGCTCTCCATGCTCGGCTAAGGGGCGTCCGTCGGGCCTAATACCACGAGGTTTCTCCCCCTCCTCTTCCAGGCTCGCCTGCTTGTGCTAACGCCACAAAAACCAAGCTATTAAACCCCAAAACCTCGCTTCATCTTGAAGTGAGCGACACAAATTCACCAGTTTTGACACTGACGTGTGTGTCTTACATCACTTCCACTCCACCACAAACACTCTGCGAATTCCGCATCGGCGGGCGCCATGTTCGAGACCCTGGTGACGGGGCTGCTGACCAGCGCGCTGGGAAGCTACATCGAGCCCAAATGCTTCAGCAGTGACAAGATCAACGTGGCAGTGTGGTCAGGCTACGTGGTTCTCAAGGAGCTAGAGGTGAAGCCCGAAGTGGTGGCGGAGCTGCCCGCTGTCAAGCTCGTGCGCGGCCTCGTGGGCTCCATCGAACTTAAAATCCCGTGGAACCGGCTGCAGTCCGACTCGGTGGTGGCCACAGTGGATGATGTATATTTGCTGTTGCGCACGGAGGAAGACATTGACGCCGTCATGCGCAATATGGACGAGTTCACTCTTAAAAAGAAGCTGCTGGAGGAGCTCTACGCACAGGCCAAGCGTCAGGATCAGACAGCCGATGGATCTGACACAGACAGGAGCGAGGACGGATTCGCGGCCAGATTGTTCAATAAGATCATCGATAACTTGGAGCTGCACGTCCGCCGGATTCATGTTCGTGTGGAGGACTACAGCTCGGGGGAGCACCCGTTCGCCCTTGGCCTCACGATTGAGTCGGTGCACGTGCAGTCCACCAATTCCAACTGGCAGCCATCGTACGTGGACACTTCCAAGAGCAACGAGCCACGGATTTTTAAGATCGTGGAGCTCAATCACTTGAGTGTATACTGCAATCCGGACTGTGAACTGCAGCGCGATCACAAGATCGACTTTGAAACATGCTCAGCAGAGGAATTTTCCAGCGCGTTCAGCCGCTCGATCCCGAAGCGATTTGATGACAGACACTACCATCATATGCAGCTGTACCCGTCTCAACAGCAGCATCACTTTATATTGAAGCCCATTGATGCGAGTGCGAGGCTGATTGTGAACAGGGATGTGTTCGACGCGAATGTACCGAAGTTTGAGGTTGATGTGAATGTTTCCGAGGTGGCGTTTCGACTGGAAGAATCGCAATACTGCGATATGCTGTATCTGGCGTCGGCACTGCAGATCCCTGACCACTACACGAAGTATCAGCGGTATCGTAAGTTCAGGCCGCGGTCAGCGGTATTTGACGAACCTGCAGAATGGTGGAAATACGCGATCACTTCGGTAATGGAAGACTTGAAAACGAAGAAGCAACAATGGACTTGGGGCTTCATGAACGGCCGGCGTGAGGATCGAAAGCGCTACGTGAGCTTGTGGCAGCAGAAGTCACGTCATCTACTGGAGCTTGCAGATGTAGATTACGTTGTTTCTGACAGTGACGAAAATGATGACGATGCTGATGAAAATGAAGTTATGACAGAGCATGACGATCAAGGAAGAATTGGACCTCCCGCACACCTGCCAAAACTTTCGTCTTTTGAGATTGATTTAGGGTTGGAGAAAATTGAACGTCGTCGGAGTGTAGAAGATGTATTATTTTTTCGCTACTTGGCCGACCTCGAGGTTCGAAAGTTTGAAGCTTCACGTGCTACTCGTGATCGGCGACGGTTGCCAACTCCTCCGATTCATAAATCTCACGGCTTTTCGGATTCCGAATCTGTAGACACGGAATTCACTGAGTCGAGTGTACCAGCTGAGGTTCGGTATCGATCATGGGGAGCATGGATGTTTGGGTGGACGTCGAAGTTGGCTACGCCTTCTGCAGACGGAGATTCAGGGCAAACACCACATCGAATTATCCCAGAAGTGGAACTTCGTGAACTGTTTAAGATATTAGAAGAACCTTCTCGGCGTTCGAAGAAACGCATGCATAAGCATCGTGATCTGACTGGGCAAGATGATGCTTCTGAGAGTGAGTCTCAGATGGAACTCAGTGAGCTTTATCGAATCACAGTGACGTTGCAGCGCGGATCGCTCACACTAGCAAGTGACCCAGAAACAAACACAACGCTTCTCCGCGGTGACCCGAGCTATGGACGCAAGTACGCTCCCACCGAATTTCTGCTTGGAACTTTTTCTCAGTTGCAAGTGGCTGCAGTGGCGAAGGATGAAACTGTGGTTGTTGATGTGTCATTACAATCTATTGAGGCGTTTGATGAGAGCGCAGAAAGCTCAGCCTTTTCTCGCCTTCTTAGTAGAAAGCAGATTATTCATTCTACCGGTGATGGAGATGACGTCAATGTTAGCAAACTATCTGGTGTGGTATTTCTGATGAGCTATGAGATGAACCCGGCGAATTCCAGCGCAGACGCCTCGTTGTTTATTCATATGGAGCCTTTGGAAATAGTGTTGTCACCAACAGCACGATGTTGGGGCCGCTTGGCGAAATTTATGGACACTCCGGCGAATTTGGGATTGTGGGAAGAGCTTGAAGTTGCGTCATTCAACGATATCGTTAATTTGAAGACGCGAACGGAAGCTAAACTGGATTACGTGATGGAGAATCGAATTGCACTCGCCGTGGACCTCCGTATTCAGGCACCGGTCATCATTATTCCGGAGAGTGACACTGATTATAACTGTGCACGTTTAGTGGTTGATCTAGGACGAATCAATTTCCGAACCGACCGTCTGAGTCAAATGGACAGTGAGCGTATGAACATGAGCTCGACTGGTGGCCCACCATCGAGCAGATCAGCACCGGGGTCCTCCCTTGCACTACAGAGTCCATGTCAGTTTCGAGATGTGAATTCGAACACGTCTTTTGTGCAACAGTTGTATGATGAAGCAGAGAGGGGAGAGGGGGCCATCCGCTGGAAGGAGGAATTTTACGACAAGTTCAGCCTATCTGTGGCAAACATTCACGTATTGCTGATTCCTTATGGAAAAGCGACTCGGGTTCAAGATAGTGACGCTGGAAACAGCGGAATGAACTATCCGTCTGCTTCCCTTCCGTCCTACCTTGCGAATATCTATGATGAAGAGCAAGAGTACGAGTTAGTTGAGCGCTTCAACATCAACGTCACCGTGCGAATGTCAATTTTGCCGCTTGATGCGACGCTGACACGATTTTACGTCCATGCAGACCTTCCAGCTTTAACGTTCAATTTGTCACTCGAAAAATACTTCCAGTTGATCACACTGGCCGATCGCTTCAGCTTGGCAAACGCCGAGGCTCCGAAAAGCACACGGAAAAACTTGGAAGGTGGGTCGTATTCTCCAGAAGACGCGTATGGAAACGTTAATGCAGGCATGCTGAATTCGGACGAAAGATACAGAAGTGGAAGCTATCTCAGCACGTCAGCACTAAAGCAATTCATGCTCAGTGATACGGAAAGCGCCCCGCCACTGGTTGCTGGTGAATCACCTGAAGATGCAAGAGATTCAGACGAAAATTCGAGCGTTGAAAGCGATGACACGTGGTTTAGCATCACCAGCGGCAATCTGGATCAAAGTGTTTTTGCACTAAACGATGGTGCAAGTGAACTGGAGCCCAGCCTCTCTGTTTCTGATCTCACTGATTCGACAGCAGCTGGGCACAGTATCACGAGCATTCCTCCACGATCAGAGAGGAGAACTCGAAAGAGACCCCGACCGGATACCCCTGGCGGACCTACGAGGCTTCTCGATCGACGATTAATGGTGTGCTCCTTCACTGTTCCTCTAATATCTGTGCAGTTGAAAAAGCCTCGGTCTTCTGCGGTATCTTCATACGCCTCTTACCGCTACGATACGGGTGACTTTGACGATGACCCTACAGACAATGGTACGATATTGGTGAAGCTGCAAGGCTTTCGAATTCGAGTAGGTCAAAAGACCTTGTCAACCCAATTGAACGTGAGCCTGCTGTCGCTTGAAGTTGAAGACTTTGTTGACGATAGTGGTCGGTCAACACAGTATTTGCTGTTTTCGTGTCCGACGATTGCTGCTCCGTTTTCGATAAAAACACCGTTGCGTCGTGGTGGGAATTTCCCTGGCTACTCTACACAACGTCGGCGACCAGCAAGGCAACGAGAACGAGTAATTTCTTTTCAATCTCGCGGCAGGAAAGGTAGTGATGATTCGCGATCGAGAACCTCTGCAGCACCAGATACATTGTTAGAGCTTGGCTTCAGCTCCTTGAACGACCAAAAGAGCGGCACAGAGGTACGGCGGGACGTGGATGTTCAACTCGGTTCGGTGCAGTTCAACTTCGACCAGTCATATGTCTGTTCATTATTGGATTTGTTTGAGGAATCATCTTCGCAACTCGCTCTGGTTCCCGCTTCTTCGCGAGGCGGTATTGGGGGCGGTGAGATATCATTAACTGACCCTGATGACGGCCTTCCGCCTCCTTTCGAGCTCACGCCCACTATCAAGCAAGAATACTCGATGTCGGTAAATTTGACCGAGTCTGTTCGTGCAGATCTCGAGCGGGCAAGGAAGAATCTATTTGAGCAGCGACCAGATGATCTGAAATTACCCATGTCGGACAGCCAAAGTGGCCCTGTTGCACTGAAGTTGAGTGTTCGACTCCATTCAGTTTCTGTCTGCTTCTCCGATCGTGGAGATTCCGTAGCGTCCGTTGCGGTTCTTGATTCCCGAGTACAGGTTGGCACTGGGAAAGCGGGTCAGATAAATGTTTCCTGTTTGGTGGGTGATGTGAAGGTGTTCGATCTGTCCTCAAAGAAGCGTCAGGATGATGATCTTGGGATCAGCGGTGCTGCAATGCGCGGGTTTGAGGCTTCATCATCAGACTACATAGAGATATTTGGATTGGACGCTTCTGCGGAGTTTTCGACGGATGAAGCGAGGAACCTGTTGAGCGTTGAATGTTTGATCTTTACAGAAATGGAATCGAAGTCAATGGTCACTCCTGAAGACGAGCAGCAAGCGAAATCGAGTCTTTGCTTGTCAGTGCAGCCTGTTCGTCTGCTAGCGCAGCCCGAGTTTGTGGAGAGCCTTGCGAACTATGTTGTTGATGGGCCGCTTCGAACTCGCGTTGAGTCTAAGCACGCTAATTTGCGTGAAGGTGTCAAAGAGCCGGCGCGTAAGCGCACGATCTCGTTAGGCTCCGAATTTCAGTTAGTTCCAAGATTTTCTCCGATCTCTGATGATCCGCCAGGAAGTTTGACTCCGTTCTTCGATGCAATCGATACGTCGAACCGAGAAGCTAGACAATTCAACGTGGAACCAACAAGCCCCCGTACACCTTCACGTGATGATGGCGGTGGAGGCAACGATCCCGATATGCAGAGTGATCAGAGCGTTGGTTCTGCAGAGGGAGATGGCATGGCTTCAATTCTTGCTCGCATTGTTAACAACTTTGACTTGGACATTAAGCTCTTTCACCCGTCTGTTGTTCTTCCTTCGACCCCATTGAAAGACATACAAGCATCGCTGCAATCTCAGCCGTACCGAGGGATCGTACTAGATTTCGGGACGATAGCTCTAACTTTGCGGCGGGAAGTGACTGAAGCAGTACGCGAGGCTCCTGAGTGTGCACCGTACCAAGCCACTGTGGCTGTTAACAATTTGCAGATTACTTCCCTTGCGGACCAAACAGCAATCTTTGACCGATCAGGCTTTCAAGTGTGCTGCACTATTCCTGCTCTGGTGATGAACAAAGAACTCTATTGTGGAGAAAACAGAACCGCTGTGGGAGATGTTGCTGTGGATGTGAATGTTGAACCTGTCTGCCTCAACGTCAGCGAAACAAATGTGCGCTTGACACTTGAAGTATTTTACGAAGCGATTATCCCAATGTTTGATACAGTCCAAGGAGTGATTCATCAGATTGAAAGCTACGAGGCTGCATCGATGGTAGAATCGACTAGTCCACCTGGTGACACACAAGGAGAGGATGGTGATTTGAAAACCTCCGTACCTGTTGCAACTATTGATTCGGCGAAGTGGGGGCAGCTAACAATCAACTTCTTCCTTGATGAATTCAAGGTTGCACTTATCTCGTATTCCGAGGCGCCACACCAATTTGAGACGTGGATGAAAAGCGTAATTGATATCCCTGACGAGATATCTTCACGTGAGAGCAGTGGTGGAGCTTCATCCGCAGCCCAAGGACGATCATATCCGCAGCATTTTATGGGGCGACGAGGGAGTTTCCCAAACGAAATCCCGTGTTGTGTGATTGGTGAGCTTGTTTTAGTTGCGATGGAAGCAAACGTGGCCCTGAGTTTGAAGGATATCCCATCGGAAGACAGCGAGGCCCAGTTTCAATGTGAATTTTCCTTACAAGAAGGCGTCATCCGTGACAAAATTGCTGATTCCAAGGTATGGTGACAAATGGTTGATGTACTTTATCCCCTCCGAGGCGTTTGATGCTAACAATGTCCCTTTGTAGGAGTTCTTGACTCACTTGTTCGGGCCGGTTCCAGGAGGTCTTTTGGAGCGCACAGATTCTCGTACTTCAATTGCGTCTGATAATTCTTCGTTTTCGTTTCTGTCTCGTGATGACATGTTTCCAGCGTTGCTTCGTCCTTCAGCGTCACAATCGTCAAGGCTAGACGTATCTTCATCACAGCTGAGTGGGCGATTAATGAGCAAGCAGTGCGATACAGACGGGAACGGATCTGTTGCCACGATGAATTCGCTAGAACTGGTTGTATCGTCGGCGCGCTTTATTCTTCTTCCCCGAACTATGCTCCGGTTGGAGCATTTTGTGCTTGACGTGTTTTTGGCGGCAAACAAGAAGTGGAGCGAACTGGAACTACAGCGAGACGAGGCTATGGCTAATAATCCTCGGGGAATTGAGGATTCTGCGTTCGGCGATGCTGGCCCAGACGACAACCGTGAACAGGAAATGCGCTTTGCTGTCCCTCCTCTTCGACCAAGATCTGACAGCATAACTGAGTCATTGAAAGACGATCTCAATGCTGTTCGATCAGCGTTTATGTCTCCGCTGCAGCGCATGCTGAGCTCGACCAGCGCGAAAGAAGGCCGAGTTCCTGAAAGCTTCACGTCTCGTGCAATTGCTGAAGAAACCGGAAGCTCAGCGTCTGTGGCTTCGAAAACAGAACTTCTGTCGGCGGGCGAAGGTGACAAAAGAAAGCGGCTTGAGATTCCTCAATGGAAAGTTGATGCACGATTTTCAAATTTGCAGCTATGGGTGGTATCAACCGATCGCAAGGCAGATGTGGCTGGATGCGTGTTTTCTAGTGCATTAGTCGCGGAGTTTGATAGCGCACTTCATGGAGGTGAATTGTCTACTTCTACAGATTCCACTGAACTTGTGACCGCATCGGTTAGGCTGAATAAGGTGGAGGTATTAGTGGGCTCGCCGACGGCGAGGGATGTCGAGCAACTGAAGCCAACTCTTCATACGGGGACGCTTGTCGAAAGCTTTGGAGTTGATATGCAGTTCGCGTTGCGCCAGTGCTTTCGACCTGTACTCGACGATGCCGTCGACTCGGAAAGCAGCGATGCAAACAGCGGCTCGAATAATGGAGGTGTGGAAACTAGGGATAACACAGTCGAGAATAGCGAAGATGACTCAAATGCAGCGTCGTGGGTGAATACGACGCCAACCGACAGGACTGACAACACGGCGGTGGATTTACCAGAACTGTTTCTTCGCGATGTTCCATCCGAGTGGCGGCAATGGATTCTCAGTGAGCCGACTGTGCGTATTGACCAGATCTTTTCGCATATATCGTACCGAGACCTACCACTGTTATTGAAAATATCTGCCAGCTTGACCAGTATGCTTGGCGCAGAGAAAAAGATTCGCAATACATTCATCGCACGGCTAAAAGCAGCAGCAGATGACCTCGATTGGTCCGATTTACAGGATATGACAGGGGATTACTCTGAGTATGCTCACTACTTCGGTGCAGACGACATGAGCGACATCGAAGTGGAAGGTCACGATGTATTGCCAGCCGCCCAACATGATGTACTTACGCGTGCGTCGATTACTGCAAGAGGTGTTCAATTCCGATTGATTAACAACATCGCGGACCAAGCGTCACCAGTTGTCGAGTTCGAATCGAAGGGTATTGAACTTTTATTTCGAGCAGAGTCGAATTCGATGATAGAAGTCATCGCGAGCTGTAAAGCTGAAGCGAAGTACCAAAATCTGCGTCTTGTGACGATGGAGCCACTTATTGAACCTTGGAGCGTCAAGATGATACTTTCGCAGCAGCAGTTACGCATTCGTGGTTTGGACAATAAAGGACAGCAAGCATCACCACCGTGGAAGCTGGACATCTCGTCCGACGTCTTTCTCCAACTTAATTTGACAGATGCACTGATTGCAAACCTAGTGGCTGCTGACCGTGCTTGGCGATGGGTTGTCAACGCTGGTGGCGATTCACGGGAAATGACCGAGTATTCTACGTACTGGATCCGGAACAACACTGGAATGCCTTTACGATATTGGGGCATAACTTGCAGCGAGCATTCTCTGGCTCCTGGCCAAGAGGAGCCTCTTCGCTTCAACAAGGTGCAGTCGGAAAACGAAGTACGAGAAGGAAGCAGGAAGTACCGCCAGAGTGGGCAGCGAAATACGCACGTGAGCGAGCGTCAGCTCTTCATTGCTGTCGAAGAGGAGTATCCAAGCGACAGTCTCTCAAATACTCCAAGGAAATGGCAGAGTGAAGCGTCTATTCCAGTCGACCAAGTTGATTCGCGTATGTATGCTCTTGTGGACTTTGAAGCGGATTTTACAGCAACACAGATGAGGAAGTGCGAGTGCGTCATTGACGTGCTAGTAGAGCGTGGATGCAAATATTTCGTGGTGCGCTCGACGTTGATTATGGAGAATCAAACAGCGTCCGACCTAGAAGTCGAGTTTGTTCCTCCCCAGCGACGTTCTGTGTCACGGTCGATGAGAGCGGAGCATACTCCACAAGGCCACATTATACCCATTTGGAAGAAGATTGTCAAGGCTTCCTCCGTTGTTCCCGTTCCAGTGCATATTGTGTCATCGGGCGAAGGATACGTGATGGTGCGTCCTCCAGAGATCACTGCCACCGATGCTGGAGACGGCGCGAGCAGCGGCATGCTACCGAAGGCCTACGCCAAAGAACGGGTGCAACTCCCGTTATTCGATCGAGGGAGCTCTTACGCCAACGAGAACATGACACAGCTGGAGACGGACGAGTCAAGTCAAGCCCAGTGCACGATCAAGTTTCGACGACTGTATAGTGACCGACCTGTTCGTCCATTCATGATGAACGTTTGCTTTTCCAGCGCGAGTAGTGCATTGTACCACCGAACGCTTTCGTTCCACCCGCCGCTGATCGTGCATAATCTAACCGCTGGACCACTAGATTTTTGCATTGCAACTCCAAGTGATTGGTCGCCTCCAGTTGAAGCTGTTTCGCTGACGAACGCAGTAATGAATACCGGATGGGAAACCCGCGAGCAGCGATTGCGTGAACGAGGCTCTATCAACGTTGCAGATTCGCTTATTTGGCATTTGTCGAGTGAGGAAACGCCTCTCGAATTGAGTGTCCGAATGAAGGGATTTGACTGGAGCGAGCCACTTGAGCTCGTGGAAGATCTGGGAGATGTTGTCCGGATCAAGATGAAAGATCTTGTGAGTGACGCCCACCTTTATATTACTGCAGAGATTCGGATGGGTAAAGGTCACTGCCGAGAGCTGTTCCTCTACGTGCCGTACTGGATTGTCAACCTGACGGGCCTGAAATTGGAGTACGAATACGAGGAAGAACGAATGGGACGCGAACACTCTACAGCGTACGTCCGGCAGTCTTGATGGTCGCTATCTTGATTGATGACTAACCTCTGCGTATCCTCATTCGCTTTTTTGTGATTAGATTGCTGGCGGGACAGAAGCGATTGGATCGTGATGAGCTGCTACTGAAAGAGAATCAAAGAGCCAAGGCGTCCCGGCGAGATCGCAATCCTCATCTTCTTCGCCCTGGTCCAAATGAAGATGACGAGTTTAGCGATGGAATGGGGAACTTGGAGAAACAAAGGATCGCGTCTGGTCGCAGTGCCACTCCCGATCACCGAGAAAGTGAGCGCAAACGACGGCATCCGCGACTTCTTCCGAGTGTGCCTCCTGTAAAGGGCTTATTGGACCTACTCCCCAAGACCTCGGAGTATGATCCGCGTAGCCTTGGGCAACTGGAAGTTCTGCAAGCATGTCATTCTGACTACACGATGGACCGTGGTTGTGTCCGACTGCGAGTCAGCAGCGAAAGAGATGTTGCAGCTTTGGATGCGAGAAAGGAGAGTGGACAACGAAAATGGTCTGACGCCTTTGTGTTGGACCAAGCGGGTACGATTGGTGAGATTGAAGCGGATGACTTCGGAGCAAATAAAAAGTTTAGCATCGGCTACTCGATCACTCCTGCAAAGGGCGAATACTCACGGACAAAGGTAATCATGCTGACGCCTCGGTTTATGCTTATCAACACGATGAGTAGTGCAGTTGAGGTGTGCCATTCATCGTCCAAGATGATGGCTCCATCAGTGATTGACATGGCCAACGCCAGTGGCTCAATGTCGAACTCCCGAGTGATGTCTCCTGTAAACCCTGTTGTCCAGCTGGAAGCTGGAGCGTTTGCTGATTTCCACTGGACACTTCGATTCGCCAAGACGCGCACGATTCGTTGTCGTTTCGCAGAATATGGTTGGTCGTGGAGTGGTGCGGTGCCTTTAGTAGAGTCTGGTGAATACGCTGTGCGCATGCGTCACGAATCAACGCGGGAAAGCAAACTTGTGCGTGTTACTTTGAAACTGGATTCATCGTGCGTATGCGTGTATTTCCGTGAGGAACGTACGACTGCACCGCCGTATCGAGTGGAAAACTATTCGTTGGAAACGCTTCGAACGCACCGGCATCGTGTGCGCCGCAGCGAGATTTTGCTGCCACACCACAGTCTTGATTACGCATGGGATGAGCCTACCGAAGAGCGTTTGCTTGTCGTCGACATGCTTCCGTCGGCCGCTGGTGATAACAGTCGGCCTTTGCGCATTGGAAGCTTCGATCTGGATAAAATCCAACGTTATCCCGATGCACTCGGTGGTACTCTGGGCATTGAGATCTCCACGGATGGACCAACTCGAGTGTTGCGTTTCACTGATACGCGTTTACGAGGGGAAAAGGCTGTACCAGCCAACACCCAGGTATCTAATGATCGCTCAGCAAAGACCGAGGCAAGTGAAGGCAGCGCCCTGCAGCTACTTCAACGCTTTGTGCCTTCTCCTACCGTGCAAGCAGCGTTGCACCTGCAAGGTGTTGGCATTTCAATCGTGGACAGTGTTCCGAAGGAGCTGGTGTACATGTCGGTCTCTGGTATTGCGTTGGAGGTTCTTGTCTCTGAAGTCGATCGAAACAGCGGTGGGGCATCAATCGCCGGTAGTGCTGCGTCGTTGTCACGACTCGAACGCGAGACACGGCCACGGGTTCTTGCTTGTTGCCTTGAAGTGAATGACGTCCAAGTTGACAATCAGTTGCAAGTGACTCCGTATCCAGTGCTTCTTCGCTTCTCGAATCCAAGCGGTAGATCTCGCGTTGTCAAAGGACAGACCATTAGCATTCCAGTCCTGCAGGTTGGCCTCGTGAAGCACGACGAGTATGCCGGCATCGAATTCATTAGGCACTTCAGCGTCAGTGTTTTGCCGGTGCACGTTCGCGTGGATGGTGCGCTGCTCTACCAGATTCTCCCACTCTTGATGCATGCCAAGATCTATGGCAGCAGCGGCAATGCCGACGCGGCCACCAAAAAGCGAGCTGTTGTATTGATGAACGGTGTCGGTAACAACGATGAGACTACGCGAGCCGCACACAGCCATTTATTGCTAAATGACTTTAATTCCAGCCTGGAGATTCCAGTGAAGGTACTCGAGGCAGCCCAGAAAGACGGCACCACGTCGGCGGGACCTACTTCTGGAACAGCAACGCCTACGATGAAAATGGTTGCTCGCAGAAACAGCGCTCAGCATCAGCAGCAGTTGATCAGTCCACGTCATAACCAGCACACTGCCTTGGCTGCGGAAATTCAGCACTACACTGCAGCCAAGTATGGGACTCTCGGTGCTATTGCGGCGAAGGAAGAGCAGACGAAGTTGTACTTTGAAGAGTTTCATATCGATCCGATTCGCGCTACAGTCAGTTTCTCGTTCGGTGATAGCGCAGGCGCCATTGTGGACGGCCACTCGTCTTCACTTTCGCATGCAGCAGCATTGACCGATTCATCGTCGTCTCGAGAATCCTCTGTGATCACGGTTGGCCCTCTTCGACTGATTTTGAATGCTATTGGAACAAGTCTGACCAAGATCGCAAATGCTCCGTTTCAACTCAAGGCGTTGCACATTCACAATTCGTTTGTTCAGCCCGATGCGTTGGCTACGCGACTGGCGTCGCATTACCAGAGTGAGGCGCTTCGTCAAGCCTACGTCATCTTGGGAAGCGTTGATGTGCTAGGCAACCCCATGATCGCGTGGAAGAACTTGCGCAGTGGTTTCCAGGACTTCTTCTCCGAGCCTGCACATGGGCTTTCGCAGCGAAGTCCACAGGCGTTTGCGTTCGGCGTGGGTCGTGGCTCGCTGTCGCTTGTACGTGCGTCCGTATACACCTTCCTGGATTTTAACACGCGTATTCTGACGGCCTTTTCGCTGGGTCTCTCGGAGGCTTGTCTGAAACTGGACGACTACACCGGCTACCCGGCAACGAGGCATATCTTCCAGGGCCTCGTGCAAGGCGTATCAGGTATTGTAGTGGCTCCGATTCACTCGTTTGAAGTTAATGGCGCTCGTGGTGTGCTGCCTGGCCTGATGGCAGGTGCATTCGGACTCGTACTCAAGCCGTTACTTGGCTTCTCTTTGGCTACAGCAACGACTGCGGTTACTCTACGTGATGCCATTGATCCCAACACCAAGGCTCTGCTTGTACGTGTCCGACCGCCACGCCACATCGATCTGCGAACGAAGCGACTCAAGGTCTATTCGTATGTGGAGTCATTAGGCGAGGAGATTGTGGGCAAGATCCGCGGTGGTCGCTACCGTACAGATGGATATCTGGGCCATGTCGACCTCAAGACTACTCACCAGTGCTTCTTGGTGACTCGTAAGCGAATTTTGTTCCTGAATGTGAAGAGCACGGGCTCAGCCCAAACAACGAAGTACGACGTGGAGTGGGAACTGTTAGCTGGAGAAGTGGTGATGGTGGATTGCTCTAGGACGCCAGACGAACAGATAGTTACCATTTACTACATGGAAGACGAGTTCCGTACAGCAAGCGGTGCGGGGAGAAGTGCGTCCGCTGCCAACGGATCAAATGCTGTGACTACCAGCCGTCGACGGACCCCTGGTATACCGCGTGGAATGTTTTTGCAGAAGCACGAGGTAACACTGCCAGTCACGAAGGTGTTGTTTGTCCGCGCTATGCTGCAGCAGCAGGAGCGCTCCTTGCTGACGAAGATGAACAGCTACACGAAGGATAGCTTACAACACTGCTCTGCGTCTTCTTCGCTGGCTAGGACAAGCTCGGTGGAGTTGAACACAGCGTGGCAACCTCAACAGTCGTACTTGCCCTTCGAGTACCCGATTTTCCGTCTGCCGCAATCGCTGCATCAAACGCGCAGCTTTGTAAACCTTGCGCAGACGCCGCCGTCACACGCTCAGAATCATCACAACGAGTAGCATCACCGTACTGCTTAATTAACAAATACAAGGGATATAGGTAAGGAAATGTGAATACAAGCACTCTCGAACATTTCGAAGTCTTCAAATTATGTCGTCCATTTTTCCTTAAAAAATGCGCGTTACTTTCTTCTCCAATCCTATTCCGCATCAGCGACCTGGGCATCTTTGTGGTCATTTGTCGCTAATACATCTCCTTCGTGCTTGCGCTGGGCATCCCACATTCCAGCGTAGATACTGTCGGGCCGACCGAGTAGCTCGTCATGCGTTCCACGCTCGGCGATGGCGCCATCCTGCATAACGATGATCTGGTGCGCGTTGCGAATCTGTAGTAAATAAAACATGTTAGTACAGGCCTCATGAATGATCAAAGCACCGAAGAGAGCGACGTACCGTTGACAGGCGATGAGCGATAACCAGCATGGTGCGGTTAGCCTTGAGTCGATTTAGTGCCGCCTGGATCTCCTGTTCGGTGACTGTGTCAAGTGCAGATGTAGCCTCATCCAGAATGACAAAGGGTGGGTCCTTCAGCAGCGTGCGTGCAATAGCAACACGCTGCTTTTCACCGCCTGAAAGCTTAAGTCCACGCTCGCCCACCTTCGTGTTCCACTGATCTGGGAGCTTCATAATAAAATCATAGATGCGTGCAGCCTTGGCAGCTTCGACGACCTGGTCGAACGTTGCGTTCAGGTTGCCATACTTGATGTTTCGGAGAATAGTGTCATTGAAGAGCACCGTGTCCTGTGGAACAATGCCAATGGCTTGACGCAATGACTGCTGCGTTACCGTGGCAATGTTGTGGTGGTTCACCAATATCTTACCAGCGTTACATTCATAAAAGCGGAACAGCAGTCGGGAAATGGTCGTCTTGCCGGCACCCGTCTCACCAACCAGGGCCGTCGTTGTGCCACGCGGGATGGTAAAGTTCAAGTCCTTAACGCCGGTAGTGGCTGGTTGCGAAGGGTAATGGAAAGAAACGTGACGGAACGCCACGTCGATGCCATTCTCCGAGTCGTACTTGCAAACGCCAAGCTCCACCGCATCGGGCGAGTCAACAATATCAGGTTCCACCGACAGCAGCTCGCTCAGCTTCTTCATGTCGACAACCGAGTTTATCACCATGTTGTAAATACCACCCAGAAAAAACAGCGGCGCGAAAAGGTTCGTGAGGTACACGGAGATGGCAACGAAAGCACCGATGTCAATCCTGCGTCCACTCTCCTCGCTCACTACATGTGGAACTGCCAAAGCCAGTGCTCCCAATACTGTAGCCTGGATGATGATAGCCTGGGTTCCATTCAAAACACTAAGCGAAGCCTGCACTGACACCGAGTAGCGCTGGTACTTCTCAATTACCTTGGAATATTCTTCGACTTCGTGTTTTTCGTTACCGAAATACTTGATGGTCTCGTAGTTAAGTAGCGCATCAGTAGCCTTGTCATGGTACTCATTGTCGTGGCGCATCGACGCTTCACGGTATTTTTTGCGCCAGAGCGTGATCTTAATTGTAAGGTAAGCATAAACCACCAAGCTGGTGAATGCCACAAAGCTCAATCCTGCCAGTTCGAAATGCATCGCGAAGATCACGATCACCACGCCAGACTCAGCCAAGGTCGGGATCAGATACAGGAACACGTACGACACGACGCTGTTCGCAGACTCCACACCACGATCCATCGAGCGTAGCACATCACCCAATTTCTTCTGCACATGCCAATCGTACGAAAGCGACTGCACATGTTCATACGTCAGCGTAGCCAGCTCAATATACGCCGTCTGCTTCACCTTGAGGTAAATAAGCGACTGCAGTTCCTTAAACAACTTTGACACGAGAGTCAGGAAGCTGAAAATGGTGATATCTCGAATCGCACCGCCAGTATCTTTGGCCACCAGAGCATTCGTGGCCGATGCCATAAAGAGCGGCGCCGCAAGATTCGCCAATTTGCTGAGAATTAACACCAAGTAGGTACTTCCAGCCCGTAGCTTGTTGGCAAACCCATGCGGCCAGAAGTACGGCTTTAGGATGTACATGAGCTTAACGAACGAGATTCCACGAGGCTTCGCAGGCTCCGTCGGCTTGTCTGCAGCCACTTGAGGCAGAGCTTCACTCTCCGCAGGCGCTGGAGTCCTGATCGAGTCGAGCAAGTAGCTCAAGTTGACCACTTCAAGTACCGTAAAGATCAATGGCAACGAGTTGGCCACATTGGCGTCCACCAGGGCCTGTTTCCCCTCATCAAGACGCGAAATTGCGTCCAACTTAAACGCGTCCACTGCCAAGACACCCAAAAAGGCAAGGCAGAAGAGGTTCACAAACCAAGTGATGGCGCGCGCGTCAGGCCAGCGCGTAGCCAGCAGGAAGAGCACGCTCTTGATCAATGTGGCCCAGACAGGTAGCCCCCAGAAGCGCCACTGCGGCTGCTGTATGTCCAGTAACCACCTCAATCGCGTGAAAGCCGATCCACCGAGACTGAAGCTGCAGACCACGAGAAGACTGGCCAAATCCCAGGCTAGCAACAATAGCAGACTGAACTGCATACACAGCATTTGACGCTGAGCCGACTTGCGTCTTCGCTTGGGGGATAGCGGATCTCCACTGCTGCTGTCGTCGTCCACATCGTCGTCTCTCCAGCGCGAGTACGTGTTTTTCTTCTCCATGGCGTCCAGACGCTCCGTCGTCTTGCCCAACAACGGAGTCGCTTCCTGCGATGTCATGACGAGACTTTTACTTGATGGCAAGTTGGAAACTGAAGCTGGCAGTGGGACTGTAACAACTGCCGGATCGCGTTTCGACCAATGAGATCGATCCAAAATAGAGCGATATGATTGGCTAAACTCTGTTGACGTACTCAACGGAATGATGGTCACCTAAGTGTACGATTACAAAGTACAGTACATGCACCAAAACAACAAGAACGCGCACACTTATAAAAAAACAAAAAAACCTTGCCGTATACGTCCAAGTTTAAATAATGGACTGCGGACACTCGAAGTCCACTTCCTCTAGCGCTGCTGCATCCAAGTATGTGCTCACATGATGACTTGAGATTGCAGGTCTTACACGGTCAGGTCTTCAATCCCGGACGAGCTACAGCGCTCAATGCGTGTAATGTCCCAGTCGCGATCATCCGTCGGTGAGAAGCTGTGTACCGCTGCTGCCAACGTATGAGGAGAGAAATACACGGGTGTGGAAGTAGGCGACACTGCAGGTGAGCCGTCTGAAAACGGGGCGTCGCGACTGGCGCCCACCTCGAGGTTATGCTGCGGATGTTTGCTCACGAGTTTGTCCAAGGCCTGCCGCATCAAATGCACGGCATTTTCTTTTGTCGGGTCGCTCGAGCCTCTCTCTTGCAGGATACGAAGCACGTTCTCATGACTCTGAATGGAGATCAGCAGCGTTTCCGAGAATGCAGCCATGTCGATGTCTCCCAAGTCCAAATCTTCAACAGGAGTCGCCACAAAGTTTGCGAGATAGACGTCATGCAGGACAATCACATCTGCAAGCTCGGGGTACTGGTATCGGAAAGAGTCAGCAGCTACAAAGTGCTCTGGGTTCCAGCGAGGCCACGTCTTCGCAATGGCTGCCGCCTTCACCTTCGCAAGCTCCGTTGAGATGCACGTTTGCAGTCGTTGTCTCATGCTGACTGTCCAGATGAGCGTTGCAGTGTTAATATCTTCGGTAGTCTGCAACTGGAGAATGAACTGGTCTGGAGACGAACGCAGCAGCTGTAGAGCAACAGCAGTACAATTAGTTACATTCAGGGTCGAGACACAGAGATGTCAACTTGCTTACCCGAACGAAGCTTGGCGTCAGTAGCTGATACAGCACTTGAGTCGGAAGTGAAGGCGCGGGAGCACTTTTTGGTCCCAGACACGCACGTAACACCAACGCAGCGCTTCGAATCGCACCGAAGTATCGCGACGGAACCCGTTGAATGTCCCCACCGTCCTCACCTGGCGTATCCTTACCACTGTCTTCGCTACTGATTTTACCATTTGGCAGCTCAACTTTTGCAGCCTCTTCTTGTCCATCTTCAGTATCTGACGTGTCCGATTCACTGCGTTCATCAGTGCCTTGAGATTCCCTTGCTGCAGTTTTGTCAAGCTCTTCAGCCGGACAGAAAGCAACAGTATCTAGCAGCGACAGTAGTCCTCCGGCATTAATCACGAGTGCCCGAAGCTCATCATAGTGGCACAATCCACCTAGACAACTCAAACAAACACTCGCAGCGTCGATGTCTGCGTATTGCGTGATAATCTGACGTGACGCGAGCTCGATCAATGCAGTCACCACCTCCGGATTCTTCGTAATAGCGCGAATCCCTGCAGCTTGTTGACTAGCCAGAATCGACAGCACATCTGTCAAGCGATACAGAAGCACGCGCGCCATGTTCTGAGTGCTTGAACTACTCCGTCGACGCGGGCCAAATACTTCAACTGTTTGCAGTATTTGCTGGAATGCTGGGGTTCGCATACGCTCAAGGGCGTCGGCTATCACGGTCAAGCCCTTTTCCTCCAGGAATAATCGACACGCAGCTGTGTTGACACTGCGCGCTTCAGGAGCGGATATCACGGCCGCAAAGAGCTCCAGCGACAAAATCCCTCGTACTTGATCAACTTCGCTAAGCATCGAGCGACGAAGAGGAGCCAGTAAAGCCTCATAGTACTCACTCTTAACTTTAACTTCAGCACCATGCGACGGAATGAGTCGTGCCAAGGCCTTAAGGATTAACACCTGCACCTCCCACGATTCAGCTGCACACAGACCGCCACTGCTTGATGATTGGATTAGAGACGGCTGATGTGAAGGAGACGGTAATGGTCCTATACTTCCAGTGCCGCTGGTATACGCTGCCTTTCTGCTGCCAAGCTGTACCAGTTCCTCGAACAGCGCATTAATCAATTCGCTAAACATTTCAGGCGTCCACTGACTCAAGAAATCACCACCGCCTTCAATATAGGACCGTAAGAAGATGTTCCCAATGAACAGGTCGTCATCCTCATAGCGGTGGGCTGAGTCATCGACGAAGTTATTCCACGACGATGTCTTCGACTCAGATCCCAAGTATTTGTGCTTGAGATATCGATACAACCGCACACGCTGCTTTCGTCCCCAGTTCACATCTGCTGCTCGTTTCTGAGATGCATTAAACGTATCGGCAAACGCTTCCGCACTTGCAGAATTCAGCAGCCGTTCCATGCCACATCCACCAAATCCAAGGGCTTCATTCAACAGTTCACTAAGTTCGTTGGACGACGAAATGTTCTTGTATCCACCAGCACCGCGATGCAAAACACAGCACTCCTTAAGAAACTCAGCAGCGGCCACACACATACCCATACCTTTCGGGTCACAACTAGCTAACAGCACATACACCAGTGTAAGTGACCTCCAGTTGCTGTCTGTCGTTGAGTTTGAGTTTGAGTGTGACGACACCGAAGAAGAAGGCGATGACGCAGACGATAGGCGACTAGAAGCTCCACTGGATCCATTTGAACTGCTGTAAGCGCCGTTGCCGTCCAGGAGTGCCAATTGCTTCAACACAAACAGTAGTCGAGTAATAGTCACGTGATCAAGTGTCTCCACCGCGAGCAGTCGACACAAGTACATGCGCTTGGGTCTGGCCAGTCGTAAAACGAACTTCCCACGGCGCGCAATAGTGAGGAGAAGCGAAACTCCAGCTCGTATCAACGCATCACGCCCATTCACCACGGAGACGGCTTCATCCTCTGGCTCTGCAATATGCACGAGACTGTCTTGATCACCCTCATCCTCCGACTCCAAAGGTCCTGAAAATGTCGCTAGCAGCACTGGATCCGCCAGAACATCCACGATCGTTCGAGTTACATTCGTGCACAGTTGGTTGAAGCTTTCGGACGGTGTGCTTCGTGTGGTAGTAATTGCAGTATTTAGGAGAAGAAAACATTCGCGCACAAAGGCAGGTGAATGGTTCATGTGGTCACGGAGTAGGACCAGCACATACTGGGTCGGGAGTTGACCGTGAAATAGCATGGCGTAGCGTCTGATGACCAACCGAAGACACCGGACGCATAACTGCGCCCATTTTTCATCATGCTCTACCGCCAGTCGATCAGAAAGATGCCAAGCTAATACAACGGGCTCGGCGATCTCATATGTAGCTGACAAGTCAGCCACACGAGGAATGAGATACTCCACAAAGTAGTCGTTTACCACCAGTTCTTCGTGCATTGAAGGGTACTCCACATAAAACATTTCATGAGCCCAGCGCAGTGTCAGTTCCGCAGACTGTGTATCATCTTCAGCCATTTGCCGTCGTCGACATTCAAGCGTCTCAATTTCAAGCTGCAAAGCCTGGCGTAGTTCTTTACGCATGGGAGCGCGCCATACCAGTTCCGGTCGTTCATGTGTTTGACGAACGGCCTCAATAACTTCCCGCCAGTGTTCTCCCTTCTCACGCGCGTCTCCGATCCATCGTTCAAAGGCACCTCCGCCAAAATTCATGGCGTTATAAGCCAATGCCACCACACGGTTCCGTTTAGTTTCAGCATTTCCGTTAGTCGCGACAACATTCGACGCGGCGATGGACGTGCGTCTGGGCTGCTCAAACTCGAACGGAAAGTGCGGCAAAGTCCTCGCACTACGCGCTATTGAAGGCTTCGTATGAACCGTTGAAGAGGGTGACGCTCCAGTGTGTCGCGGTATAACTTCAACTCGACTTTTTACAGGAATAAAAAGCTCAACCGGAAAAATACGGTACACAGTCTTCTTCGAGCGCGTATTACCGGCACAAAACACCTCCACAAGGTCCACACACAAGTCCCGCATTTCGGGCTCAATATCATCTGTATCCTTTGCCTTTTTCCCATTCTCTATCGTCTCCATATCCTCCCGTACGGCTGTTTCAAGCGCATACAACAGTGCGCCATACTCCCTCGCTGACTCTTGCAGTTGATGCACTTGATCCAGATCCACAATACAGAATAATTCCTTCACCAACGCAACCGCCAGTCTCATGACTTGGTAATGTCCATCTCTGCAATGACACAAGTCCAGTAGAGACACTCGAGCGGTCATGAGAGCTTCTATCGCTTGAGTGCACGTCATCATGTCCGTCGCTACTCGTCTCTCCACTAATACCAAGTGGAACAGCTTCAACACTCCTCCGAGCACTTTTGCTGCGTCTTCTTTCTGCTTTTCCTTCACCACAGCAGCTCCAAATTGTTCCAAGAGCGAGCGCAGTACTTCGAAGCCTCCTGCGTCTCCAAAGTTCCTCCTGTTTGCCGCCTCGCTTCGATCTGCCGCCTTGTCGCCGGTCTCGAAGCCTGGACAGGGCGATAACATCAACTGTAGAGTTTCCAGCACCGACAGCACGAGCGTAGGCGACGGACGGTGCAGACACCTGAGAAAAGGCTTCATGGAGCACTTGGCGCATAGTTTGTAGAGCTCTCGCCAGCGGATAACGCGTCGGAAGCTCGTGAGGATGAGTCCTATCATATCGCGTCCATTGTTCCGCTGCGCCTGTTCTGTTTGGTCCTTTAACAAACCGTGTACAACGTCAAAGAGACGGCGCTCCTTGACATCGACGCCTACGATATTACTGAGGAGATTGGGGTCCGCATCCACGGGTACTTGGAGCTGTGTATGACGTATTGGAAAATGTTACGAGTTAGAGGTAAACTAAGTCGGGAACAAACGTCTATGAGCTTTACCTCGAGCGGGAACAAGGCGCAAAAGGTGCGTAGCACTTCCTCGAGCTCGGTGTTGGTCACATTGGGTCGGCGCAACGCCAACACGTCGCGCAGCGCGCTCTTCTGCTGCACGGAGCCAGCCTGCCCCATGTCGGCCAGCTGCACTCCCTGCCTCGCTTTGTATCTGAACGAAATGAAAGTGACGCTGGATTGCCTCCCAAGTGTAAAATGTCCATGCAGTTATAGGGGTTTCTAGATTAGGAACAATGTGAAAGGGTCTTTTATTTAAATCGCTATTTGTTGGTAAATTATGAATGGAAGGTTATTGAATTATTTACTCGAAAATCAGGTTTACGAATGGGTGCAAACTCGGAAAGTTGAAGTGAGCTTATCAAAGTGACTTAAGGCTGCCCAACTCTTCCTTCGTGTCGGGCATCTTCGTAGTATCTAATACATGTAGCTTAAGCCTGATGGCAAAGCTGCTGCTCAGAGCGATCGTCTTATCAAACTACGACTTCAAGCAACTCTGACAGCTAGAGATGAATACTTCTATTCTTCACATTCTTCACAGACCAGATTGGCAAAAGGGAGCGCATTCAAACATGTATTTAAGCGGATGTAGTGAAGTGGTCACATGGCTCACTTAAACGACTGCTGAGTTACCTGGTCGCTCTGGTGGACAGAGTCACTTTGGATGGCCGAGTCCTCCGATGCCGAATCCGAGTCCTCCTCAACCAGAGTCTTCGATGATTTCGTCTTCTTTGAAGTCTTGCCACCCTTGACCAAGACTGCGTCCTCGCTACCGCTATCCGATTCGCTAGCAAACAACCAGTCGAGGTCGTGGCTGGCAGAGGCCGCCTTGGTAGACTTACCCTTGGTGGCACCCTTGACAAGTGTGGGGTCCTCACTGCCGCTCTCCGAGTCGCTATCAAGGAGCCACGACAGGTCGTCGCTGCCAGAATCCGAGTCATCCTCTACAACGGGGGCCTTGGTAGACTTACCCTTAGTGGCACCCTTAACGAGGATTGAATCCTCGCTACCGCTCTCAGAGTCGCTGTCAAGGAGCCACGACAGGTCATCGCTGCCAGAATCCGAGTCATCCTCTACAACGGGGGCCTTGGTAGACTTACCCTTGGTAGCAAGAATGTCCGTGTCCTCCGACGCAGATTCAGATGATTCCTCGATGGGAGCCTTCGTGGCCTTGCCTCCCTTAGTGTCCTCGCTACCACTGGCGGAGTCACTGTCCGAGTTGCTGTCGAACAGCCACGATAGGTCGTTGCTACCGCTGCCCGAGTTACTCTTGAGCAGATCAAGCAGCCAAGACAGGTCGTTGCTTCCACTGCCTTGGAGAATCGACATTAGGTCATCGCTGCTCGACGAGTCTGATGACGGCGGGAGTATGACCCCATCCATCGAACCGGACGACGACCCCTTGAATTTGCTGCCATCGCCGCCGGCCAAAATGTCCTCAATGTAGTCCATCACGTACGTGAGGCGCGTGAAAATACCAGCCTGTTGACCGCACTTGCTGCCCCAGCTAACACAGCCAATAAGGATGTCGTCGTCCACGAGAAGCGGACCACCGGAGTCACCATTGCACGTGTCCTTGTTGTTGCCTGTTCCAGCGCACAGCATGCCTTCCGTAACACGGCCAACGTACTTTTTGAACTTGCCACACTCAGCGTTCGAGATGACAGGAAGCGTTATCTGCTGCAGGGTAGGGCTGGTCGATTCGCCGCTGGTCTGTGTCTTACCCCATCCAAGAACGGTACCCATTGTTCCCACTTTGTTGTCGGATCCGTCTGAGGCGCACAACTTCGCCGTTTTGCGCTTGATCGGCTTCTTCAGTTTAAGCAAACCCACGTCGTACAAGTGCTCCTTCTTCTTGTACAAAGGGTGACGGAAACCCGCAATGACTGGGACTTGGATGGCCGCACCCGAGCCAGAACCAGTGCTGTCGTTTGTGCCAAAAGTGGCAATTATTTGCATCTCGTTCGTTCTAATGCAGTGACCTGCCGTAAGAATGTACTGAGGAGCGATGAGCGTGCCGGCGCAGAAGGTCTCATCAAAGAAAGAATCGCGCAGACCAGCAAGGAAGGGATACTTGTCGATATTTCCATCTGATCCACCCCAAATGCGGTTCTCCTCGTTCGCAGTTAAACCAGTGCTCTCTGTCTCGGTCTCGGTCGTGGGAACATCGTCAAATGAGTAGCCATACGTGAACGTCGAGAGCGACGCCACCGTCGCGGCGAACGCGCCAACCTGTGCAATCTTCATCGCTCAAACTATTGGAGAATCAAAGTTAGAGTCTAACGCCTTAGTCCTTCGAACAATGCGAAGGTCCGGCGTGGTGAAAACCAAAATGATCTGGTCGAGCATATCGTCCGGGATGCTTCCGTCAAGCCGGAAGCGCTCGAAGCTGTGGCGCTAGCTAACAGAACCATGGGCATTCGTGGAGATCTGGAGATGGGGACAGTAAACGTGATTTAGATAAAACAGAGTCGCCTACGCGCCACCAGCTAGGTAGTCAAAGCCCATGCAAGTGCCTGAAAACAGCAGGCCGGTAATGTTTCATCGCATCGCAGGAAAAACACAAGATGGGGATCGCTGTGCACCGCACCGCGATGACAGCAATTCAAGTCAACAAACAGAGCCAGGTTGTTGAAGTGACCCAAGCGACAGCAGGGCTGTTCTTCGGCGGTAGGTCGTCTGCTGCAGACTTGGAACAGCGTCGATAGAGATCCAGATGTCATGCACTGGGAAGATCTACCTGTATATCCATAAATTGACCTCGCAATCGTCGGAGCGTCAGAACTCGACAGCATGAAAGGCGTTTACGAATGACGGTATATAGTCAGTAAGCGTATTCGAATCGAGAGAATCATTCTGCACTGTAGAGCATTTTATTAGTTAGATTCAGAATTACAGTATCCATTCATCCCTATATCCACCAGAAGGTCTCAACCATCCGTACTTCAGTTCTTCATTACTTATTCAAACAAAATTACTCTCTTAACGCTTCTTGCATTTTTTTTTTTTTAAAAAAAAACCGAAAACAGTTCGCCGTTTGCTCGATCGCTGATAGTTATCGCCTACGGACAACGCATTTACCAGATGCCGGTACTTCATTTGTTGGGACATCCGCTTTAATGTTTGAGCTTCGAGGCTTGGCATTGATAACGGGGAGTTCAGTGCTCTGAGCAATCTCACTCAATATTTTTGCTGACTGCATTGCGGACACACCGCTGGCACTCCCACGCACAGGGTTTGCTGGAAAAGCTGCCTCACCTGCTGAGGTGCCTTTACTGGTAGACTTCCTCGGTTTACCTGCGTCACTTGTTGATCCCGTCGTCGACGAAGTTCCAGCGAATATATTGTCATCAGCACCATTCAGGACGTCATCGACAAACTCCATAACGTAAGTCAGACGCGTGTACACGCCCGCTTTCGTGCCGCACTTGCCGCCCCAGCTCACAATACCAACAACCACACCGTTGGCGAGAAGTGGACCACCAGAGTCTCCGTTGCACGAGTCTTTGCCGTTACCATTCCCAGCGCAGATCATACCTTCCGTGATGCGGTTCCGGTATCTCTTGTTGCATTCCGCGTTTGAAATGACCCTTACGTTTACTTCTTGGAGTGTTAAGCTGCTCTTGCGATCTTCGGTCACCCCCCAACCAAGAACCGTTGCCATTGTTCCAACCTTGTTGTCTGATCCATCATCAGCGCACAGAGGGGATGTCTTTTGGGTAGAAGATTTCTCCAGCTTCAACAAACCAACATCGTAAAGGTGGTTGTCGTTGTTGTATAACGGGTGACGGTATCCCTCGACGACCTTTATCTTTTCGGCTGAACCGGATCCTGCCCCTGCGCTGAACTGTGATCCGAGTGACACATAAAGCTGTCCTTTGTCTGTCTTGATGCAATGTCCAGCTGTAAGAATGTACTGCGGTGCGACTAGTGTGCCGCCACAAAACGTTTTTCCGAAGGGGTCAAAGCGCAGACTTGCGATGAACGGGTACTTGTCCACATCAGCCTCCAAACCTCCATATATGCGGCTCTCCTGGTTGGTGGACAAACCTGTACTGGCATTTGAGCTAACATCAGGCGGCTCTGTCGTTTGCATAGCATCGTATCCATAAACGGATGTTACAGCTAATAGTATCGAGGTGAAAGAGCCAAACTGCATAAGCTTCATCCTCTTGTGCGGACTGGTCAACCTGCTGCCAGCCTAGCGAACCGGAGAAGTACCTACGTCGAGAAAGTCAAAATAACAGCTCGGATCCTGAGAGTTGCGAAAGCTCTCTTGTGGTGCAGAGGCGTGGGAGGTCGTGAATTTTGTTTAAAAAA